TGAAGAATATTGTGCTTGTTCAGCTTGTTCTATTATGTTCAAGTATTTATCCTCTAAAAATGGAGCTAGAAGATCTTTTTTTTTTCCTTGTTCTTTGATCCATAGATAAAGGATGTGTTGTTTGAGAATGTTGATTTTAATAAAGGTGGTATGATCGACATTCAATATTATAGCAATAATACTATCTATAATCGAGTATTGGATTGGACCTGAGGTTGGGTTCATAATAACTTTTTGAGTTGAAGTAATATTAAGAAGGGTTTGTGTAGCCCATAGTTTCCGTTGTTAATCATACTTGTCTGATAATTGAACTAAGGTCTCTATAATGTGTGCTTCTCTTAGGGACCTGTAAAAGCTTTTGTTTCCTTATAGATATGTTGATCATGTAATAGGAAGTAAGTTGACTGTATTTGATATTGTTATGTTTTGTGATGATTGTTGCTATGTTTTCCTAGACATGTGTTGCAGGTTTGTTTATTCCTTATTATTATTTTGATAATATTAAAAAACCTTATTGTTTATTATGACATATTGATAATATTTGTTATATGCATATATTGTAATAGTATTGTTGATATTGTTAATCAATCAATAATAAACACGTGGAATTATAAGGTTGTTGATAATCAATTTGTGCAAACACATGGGGTTATGGGTTGTTGATAATTGATTTGCGTAAACACGTAAAAAGTGTATTAATGTTGTTTATTTGATATGTCTTTGAGCTTGTTGTGAAAAATATATGTGTCTGTATTTGTGTGATGTAATATTATTGAAATGCTGTTGTTATGATGTGTATGCTTCTTTACTGTATAGTTAATGAAGCTTGGACATCCCTCTAGGTTTTATGAGTATTTGACTTGGACTGATTTATCGGTTTGAGTTATTGCTTGTAAAGCTTCTCTTAGTATCTAGAAAGATATTAACCTGCACTGGCCTGGCTAGAAGCTTTGTGAGGTTGATGTTGGGCTTCCAAGAGCTTACTGTAAATCAGTCTTTCTTGTTGTTTTTCTCTTTCTAAAAGAAAAAATTTATATAGTAGAAGTTAATAATTTTTGTAAAATCTATTTTTTCTGTACTCTATAAAGAGTTCTTGAACTTGTTTTTATAAGTTGTTTAATTGTAAAGGTGGTTTCTTTTGGTTTCTTTTGTTTTTTGGTTAGTTTCTCTTTTTTTCAAAAAAATTACTAAAAAAGGAAATTTTCTGAAAGTTTGGGGATCAGCGGAAAGAGTTTTTTATAATAGTTTATTTGATATAAAATCAATTTTTTTTTATTTTTAACTTTTTTTTTATTTTTTTTATAATATATCTATATAGTTATGTATATTATACAGTATATCTGCTATATATATCTTTTTTTTTCTAATATAGTTTTTCAATTTGTTTAATGATATAAAAAATAACAAAACTTTAATAATTGACTAGCAATAAAATAAATAACTAGAAAAATCTTTATCCAAAATATTTATAAAATATTATTTCTATAATCAAACTTAGAAAATTTAACTTAAAAACAAGTTTATTAATAAAAAATTTAATTTAATTTAATTATGCATATATATAATACTCAAATATATTTTGTATTAAGTAATTAATAGACATGTTATTTATTGATCTAATTTAATGATTAATGCAATAAATAAAATCAAAAAATCAAAAATTTTATATTAATTTTATATTTTTTATTTCTTTAAAAAATTTTACGAAATTCAATTTTAAACAACTTTTTAAATATTATTTATATAAAGTAAGTTAAAAATTTTTATGTAGTAAAAAATTATGGCTTCCATCTGTATTTATACTGATATACATGTTATAGATTAATACTATCAGTAAAAAATGCATAATATATATTAAAAAAACAACTAAGGATTAATTAAATTTAACGCAGAATATTACAGCGGAAACTGTGATTTCACTGCTGGAAAGTCATATTCAGTGATGCAAAAATTTTTATACCTAAGGTATAAGATTTTTACACTTTTTCGACTTTAGATTTCTTCCTAGAACGTCGCTTAAACGAAGCCCAACCAGTCAAGGCTGCTGATATAATTGAGGAGAGTATTGCCATACCGGTAAAACCATAAAGCAATAATGCAGGCCTTCTCCTTGATGTTATCATTTTAAGAATAACAACACCATTTTCATCATAAGCAGAGTACTATTTAAGATAAATCGTGTTATATTTTTTTTCAGGAATAATAAAATAAAATGAGTTGAGTTAAATTATACATACACCCCACATAAAATAGGCGACTATTACTTGTGCAATAGTGGTTGAGAGCGAGAAGTACAATACCCAAAATAATAATACAAAAGAATCATATGCAGGGTCGAACCATTTAACAAATCTTTGCAGCGAATTTATTGTTGTCGTTGTCGTGGATGCGTCTCTTTTGATAAACATATAAATTATTTGGATAAAAGAAATTATTATTGCAGGAAACGATATGAGGGCAAAAAGGATTATTATCCCAGTAACAACTATAAAATAAAATAATCCTAGATGTTAAAGAATGATAATAATATAATTAACAGATAATAGATTTATCCACTTACTTTGAGTACCAATCTCGATCCCTAAGGCAGTTTCCTCTTCATTTCTTAGACTGACCAATTTTAATGACATAAATAATACCGCATTTCCCACAATTAAAAGTACAATCATAAGGAGTAATTTCATAACTGTCATTGGATTTTTTAAAGCCTTTAGTATCTTCTCCTTATATTTAGATTTTTTCGGTGGAGGATTCTGTGCAGTTGCTTCATCCTCAGTTGTAAGGTTCACATCTTGCGAAGCCATTCTTTAAATTTGCGTTACGTATTTTGTTGAACCAGAAATTTTCTCAGTTCGTATGTCTTATATATTTTATATTCTTTACTTTTACCAAACCATTTATTGTACACATGTGCACATACGATCGTTACTTATCATCTGATTGAAAAGTAGATTTGAATGAATCAAATGAGCTCGCGCACAAAGCATTTAATTTCCTATTGCAGACAGGCAAGCTTATTACAATGACGACGCGTATGATTTTCGGGATATGCATTAGATGATTACGTTAAAATTAGATTTTCGTCATAGAATTTATGAAACATTTCTTTATTTTTTATGAAGTTGAACTAAAACCCTTACGGTTATACTGAACTAGTTTACCGTAAACTAATTCTCAAGATTAAAATTGCGAATTCTTCATGTGATTAAACTAAAATTTGAAACTCGAACCGATATTCTGGATGCGTTAAACAATGGTCGATTAAAAAGTGGTTTAAAATTTTCTCTTTGATTATCGAAAGGAAACATCGTACAGCACGTAAAATGGGATCTAATAAGCACTGCTACATATTTTTCATTTGCAATGTGCATGCCGTAATGAAAAATCAATTTAAAATATATTTGAATAATTATTTTTTTAAATTTTTCTGAAAAAAAAAAAAAAAAAAATTTTATCTATACTGTATAAAGTCTGGTGCAAAGTCTTTGGATTAATGTTGTTTATTGTAATTTAATAAATAGTTATTGAAATAAAACTTTTTATATAGCAATAAAAATATTAAAATTTAATAATTAATGTTTTTATTATTAAATATTGATTTGAAGTTTTAAAAAAAAAAGGTATTATTTTATTAATTAATTTTATACATGAATTTTACATATAAAAAATAGTAAAAAAAATATAGTTTTTACTATAATAAATCTTTAAAAAATTAATTATAAAATAAAAAAAAAATTTTTTTTTTAATCCATAATTAGGTTAACATAATATATATTTATTATATATATTCTGAAAAAAAATAATCTATTTTTTTAAATTATCTATTGATTATTATTATATATTAATTAAAATTTTGTTTATAACTTAAAATTATAACTATTTTATTCTATAATATATTTATTTTTTAATCATTTTTATAATATTTTTTTTTATCTTCTCTTATAAGACTTTCTTGATTTTAATTTTTCAATATAATTAAATTTATTTTTTTTTTAAATTTTGAGCTTTTTTTTTTTTTTTTTTTTTTGTTTAATTACTTTATTAGACTAGCTATATATACTTTACCAAACAATTATAGATTATACATTATAATATAAATCATTAAAACTAAAAACTTTAACTAACTCACTTATCTTTGTAATTACTATTTTAAGTATAACGTTAAAAATAATTTGTTGTTCTATTAAAAGTTTAGATAAAAACATTTTTAACTCCAAATATCATTATCTATAGATTACTATTGCAAATTACTTTTTTAAGTTCTGACAAAACTTAAAATCTAATAATTTTATTTCAAATCAAAACTTTCTTGATAGGATGTTTTTCAGGGCTTGATATTCTAGCTTTTTTTTTTCTAGTAATAAAATTTTTCTTTTTGATAGTATAATTTTATAAGCTTGAGAACTAAAAGGTTTTTTTGTTTTATTATTTCTTTATATTCCTTATGTTCTTTTCCATTCTATCATCTTTTATATTTTGCATTTCAGATTTTCTTATAGAATTAATTGTATACTATACTTTACATCTTCTTTATTCATTTTTTTATTTCTTTCTTAACTTTTTTATTATAGTATTTTAGATTTGTCAATTCAAGAACTAATTAACTTCTTATTAGTTCTACATAAAAACTTAATATATTCTGACTTGTTATTGAAGTTTGTTTCACAAAGCTGAATGTCTACTTATCAACTTCTCATTTTCTTTTCTATTATTCACTATTAATCTCATATTCTTTTCCACAGCTTCTTTTTTCTTTTTTACAAAAGTTCTCTAAAGTTCTTAAAAACTTTTTTATGACTTTTGTTTTATACTTTTTTTATTTGCTATTTATAAACTGAATATTCTAATAAGTAATTAATTATCACTTCTTCATAAGAATTATATATAATATATTTTACTTATATGGATTTGATCTTCTAATAGTCAGCTTACTTAGTATTAATAACTCATCATTATCAATTTAATAAGAAAAAAATTTTTATAAATCTTTGAAAAATGTTAAATTTTGAGCTTTTTGTATAAATATTTTGATATATACTATATATATATATATATATATATTTTTAATAATACCTAGATTTTTTAACTTTTTCTAAAAACTCTTTTCCACTTTCTCTACTTTGTGAAAAAATTCTTTTTAAGAGGTTTTCTTTTCCCCTTTCCCTTTTCTTTACTCTATGCATGCAAATAACAAATATACAGTGAACAAAGTCTGAGATATGCTAATATTATACGAGGCTCTATTATCTGACTTGTTAATGTATAGAAGATATTATATTTAGGGAAGCACGAGCGGACCTGCACTCTATGCATAGCAAACATCTGAGAGAAAGGAAGCCATCTTTTGGATTGGGAACACTTCTGAAGCGAGGCTTTGTGTATACCTGAGTTATCATAGACAATAATACCTTTATTCCCCTTAGTTTTCCCTAACACCTTAAACTTTCCCCACCTCTTTTTTCTTTCCTCTTTTTTTTTTACCCTCTCATCTTTTACCCTTCCTGCCAACAGACAGTTTTTTCCTTTTCCAAGGTTTTCTTTCTAGGTCTTCCACTCCTTTCTCTATCAAACCATTCCATCAATCCTATGGTATATCAAGTCTTTGCTCTGATCAAGTTAGTGGACTTAACTCATGAAAAAGATCAAAACAAAATCTCGTATAATTGAGAGGTGAATTTGTAGTAAGGGTGACTACACTTTCAAAAGTTCTAGGTACACCTTTCTATAATCGATAGCCATTTACGAAGCTGTCTAAACAAAGAAGAAATGCAATGGCGAGAACATCAGTCAATAGCATAAAGAGTAGGGTTCTACTTGCTAATGGCCTAGACTGCCATTTAATATTGATCAGAGAGTAAATGACTAGTCAAGAGCTCTTGTTCTGAATACTTAATAATACTATTATTATCTAACTCAAGAGAAATGACAATAGGATCTCCTTTTGTTTTAACCATCTTCCAAAACTCCATCAAAAACCATGATCAACTTACTTCTCCAAAGGATTGATGCAGATTGAACATGCCTTATTAAATTCAAGACCCTTAGTAAGGAAAGACTCATGGCCTATACTTGACTCAAACTGGTTTCCAGGCCTAGTACAACAAAAATCTGAATTCCTCAACTACACCACTATACATATTACCACCTATTCCAGTAAGCACCCTTATAGGTCGAAAGTAAACTAGTAGCTAGATACCATCTACCATTTTTTCTTTTTCCACATGAGTTTTTAGAGTTTGTAAAAAACTATCAATGCAATAAGTATTAGTTAACTTACTTGATAGTTAACCTTGTAAAGACTATTTATATAATTGTTTATGAATTAATTTTTTAATAAAAACTAGCATATATTGCTTATTTGCATTAAAAAAAAAATAATAATAATAATATCTAGATTTTTTTTTTTAATTTATTATATTAATACGTCAATTATTTTGAATTTTTTTTTAAAACTTTTATATATTTTTAACAAAATTTATCAATTATATTTTATTTAAATATTAATAAGATCTTATAATATTACTTAAGACATTTTTTTAAAATATAATTTTATAATTTTAAAATTTTTTAATTTTATTAACACCAATTAAAATTATATTATTTGATAAGTAAATTATTATTGAATTTAATTAAATTTATTATTTTAAATTTTTTCAAATAATATTACTTAATACATAATATATTATTATTACTTTAAACAATAAAGTATTAATTGGATATTTAAAATATTTATATTAGACTTTTTCCACAAATCTCTCAGATCCTTAGAAATTTCTTTTTTAGGTAATTAACCTAAGGAAAGAGAAATATCTATAATTCAAAACACATATTCTTGCAATGCCAGCATACAATAGTTATCTTAGTACAAAACAATATTTAATGTATAGTTCTAGAGAAGTAAATTGTTAAAAAATATATAAATGTAACAGTAACTTTAGTTTTTTCTTTTTTTTAAGAAAAAAAAAAAGAAATCAATATAAACTGATTTATAGTTAGAAAAGAGAAATCAATATTAACTTTACAGTGCTTACAACCAGGTCAGTATAGGTTGACATCTTTCTTGATACTATAAAAAATTATAAAGAAAGTAGGTTTGCTCAATAAATTAAGCAAATCTCAAATTCTTTAAGATCCAGAAAATCATCAAAGCTTCCTAAGATCTAAATAGTCAAATATATATATTCCACCTTGCAAACATCAAAACATCTAACCAGAGTAATGCAAACATATACACACATATAAACCTATTGTTAAAAACAAGTTCAACAAAAATCGATCACAACAACATAACAAGAGCAAATAGCTTTGACAAGATCTTCAATTACAACATTATTACAAGATGTGATTGATATAAACAAAACAGCAAGGATCTGTAATACAATATTTTAAATTAGTGTAAACAAGTAAACAATACTAAATAAAGAAGAAATAAATAATGCATGTCTGATCAAAATAAAATCAAGACACAAAGCAAAATAGAAAATTATTAAACAGAAAACAAAACACATAAAAGATTTTTCTGCTTCACATGATTTTAGCAACACTATATAATTTATCCCCTATTAGCTATTCTTTATATGTAAATAAATAAGATAAAAAGGATTCTACAAATAATAAATAAAAGAGTAAAGAATATTATTGATACTCTAATTCGACTTCAAGAAAGTATGATGAATATAATAAACTATGGATTACATAACAAATATCTAGATAGGAGCAAGCCATCATTTAAGTGGGAGAAGAAGCATCAGTTCCAGAAACCTATACGATACTTGATAATATTATTGCAAGTATTTTAAAAGTA